CATTTATTCCATACACCAAATAAAGTTGACCTATTGATTACAGGACTTGAAAAACAGACCAAAATATAAAAAAATATAACAATGACCAAGTAACCATGAAAATGAGGTCAAGGTCAGATGAAACCTGCCTTTCTGTCATGTACCCTTTACAATCATTCCATACGCCACATATAGTTGACCTGCTGATTGTAGTATCAGAGAAACGGACCTAATCACGTAACTTTAACCTTGATCACTGATCCATGAATTAAGGTCGAGGTAAGTTTAACCCTGTCTGACGGCCATTAAGATGTTGCAAGGAACCCATATATCATATATAGTTATCCTACTACTCATAATAAGTGAGAAATTCACATGACAAAAAAACTGTAAATTTTTTTCAAGCAGTCGCTGAACCATGAAAATGAGGTCAAGGACAATGAGCATATGACAGACGGAAACTTCGTAACATATGGTATCCGCATACAAGGTATAAAGCATCCAGGTCTTCTTCCTTCTGAAATATAAAGCTTTATACAAATAGTTTACGCCACCGCCGCCGCCGGATAGTAATACCTATGTCTCGCATACTGCGACAGGCGAGACAAAAACAGATCAAAAAACAAAAAACTTGATACTGATCAATGAACCATGAAGATGAGGTCAAGGTCAGATGGTACCTGCAAGACAGACTTGTACACCTTATAGTCATGCCATACACCAAATATAGTTGACCTATTGATTATAGTACTTGAAAAACAGACCAAAACACAAAAACTTAACATTGACCAATGGACCATTAAAATGAGGTCAAGGTCAGATGAAACCTGCCAGTCTGACATGTACCCATTACAATCATTCCATACACCAAATATAGTTGACCTACTGCTTATCGTATTTGAGAAACGGACCTTATCACGTAATTTTAACCTTGATCACTGATCCATTAAATGAGGTCGAGGTCAGATGAACTCTGTCTGACGGACATGTAGACGATGCAAGGATTCCATATACCAAATATAGTTATCCTATTACTCATAGTGAGAAATTCACATGACAAAAAAACTCAATTTTTTTTTCAAGCAGGCGCTGACCCAGGAAAATGAGGTCAAGGACAATGGACATATGATTGGCGGAAATTTCGTAACATAAGGTATCTGCATACAAGATAGGTCTTCTACCTTCTGAAATATAAAGCTTATACAAATAGTTTACGCCGCAGCCGCCGGATAGTAATACCTATTTCTCGCATACTGCGACGTTCGTCGCAGGCGAGACAATAAGAGACCTCCAACGACAACGACAACAACTGAACTACAGACTCCTGACTTGAACAGGCATAACATAAAGTATGGTCCATTCTGTTGTTAACCTTCCACTCATACATAAAGGCTCAATAGGCGAGTCTTTAAACAGGACATAATTACGACATCGTTGTCAAGTCAGTAAAGATGACATTTTTTTGGAATTAATATTAACTCATACGGTCTTTGCATCGGAAATAGTTAAATATGTTTATTATAAAAAAAAAAACAGTTGTTGGCATGATATGAGTTATGTTCTCGTATAATTTATGATTGCATGATACTACGGGAGGGATTGTGGTTGATTTTCATATGATGAAGACATAATCTTTCGATCAATTTGATTGAGGTCTGGAGCTGGCATGTCAGTATTGTGAGTCCTTTGTTAATTTATGTTGATCATTGTCATTTTGCTTAGTTTCTTCTGTTACATCTGGGACATAATATATAAGTTAATATAATAGTCCCAGGTTCCATATTAAAAAATCGGGACTCTCTGACTTCTTCTGAAACGAGTTTTACTGTGCGTTTGTTTATTCAACATTTGGTAGAGGTATATGGGGAGGGTTGAGATCTCACAAAACATGTTCAACCCCGTCGCATTTTAGCGCCTGTCCCAAGACAGCAGCTTCTAGCCATTGTTAATCTGGTGTGATTTAAAAAAAAATTGATTTGGTGTATGGCATGATTGTAAGGTGAACATGTCTCTCTAGCCAGTATCATCTGACCTTGACCTCATTGCCATGGTTCATTGGTTAACATTAAGTTTTTGTGTTTTGGTCGGTTTTTCAATTACCATAAGCAATGGGTCAACTTTATTTGGTGTATGGAATGATTGTAAGGTGTACATGTCTGTCTAGCTGGTGTCATCTGACCTTGACGTCATTAATTTGTCATGGATTTTTACAAATGTTAAATTTATGTGATACTTGTAGTGAAACCTTTATCTTTAAGACTTTCAACATAAAATCAATGGTCAGTAAAACAGGCGAGACAATTCAGCGTGTGCACTCTTGTTAATGTTTAGATGATATCATTTTATCAGGGAATTAAAATCCTTAAAATAAAAATATAGGAACAGTTCACGTCAAACGAAAGTAACGTGCGAAGAAAACAATAGAATTTATATATTATTGTGCTTAGGGTCCTGCTGAAACCCGCCTCCGTGTGCGTTTTTTTTTCGCTCCGTTGAAGACTCATTGCTGACCATGGGCTGTTTTCTGCTCTTTGGTCGGGTTGTTGTCTCTTTGACACATTCCCCGTTTCCATTCTCAATTCTTATTTATAATTAATCCATTTATAACTCTGTCTACAGGGGATATACTAACCATCTAATGTGGGAAATTGCTTGTGATAATCTGCTATAATGGTGATCAGGGCTGTTAGGTTAAACGTCTATATGCATGCTACAAGAAGACAAGAGTGCACACGCTGAAATGTCTCGCCTTCTTTACTAACCATTGATTTTATGTTGATAGTCCTAAATATAAAGCTTTACTACAAGTAACACATAAACTTAACATGATCCAAGAAAATGAGGTCAAGGTCAGTTAAACCAAACGAGAAATACATGTACACCTTACAATCATTCAATAAAACAAACATAGTTGACCTATTGCTTATAGTTTCTAAGAAACAGTCTTAACCAAGAAAACTTAACATTGGCCAATGAACCATGAAAATGAGGTCAAGGTCAGATGAACCATGCCAGACAGACATGTACACCTTACAATCAATTTATGCATTAAATATAGTTGACCTACGGCTTATAGTATCTAAGAAACAAACTCAACATGAAAACCTAACATTGACCAATGAACCATGAAAATGATATCATAAAATATTTCCATACACCAAATATAGTTGACCTATTGCATATAGTATTAGAAAAAAAAAACCAAAACTCAAAAACTTAACTTTGACCACTGAACCATGAAAATGAGGTCAAGGTCAGATGACACCCACCAGTTGGACATGTACACCTTACAATCATTCCATATACCAAATAAAGTAGACCTACTGCTTATAGTATCTGATATATGGACTTGACCACGAAAACTTAACCTTGTTAACTGATCCATGAAATGAGGTGGAGGTCAAATGAAAATTGTCTGACCGGCATGAGGACCTTGCAAGGTACGCACATACTAAATATAGTTATCCTATTACTCATAATAAGAAAGAAATTAACATTACAAAAAATGTTGACTTTTTTTTCAAGTAGTTACTGAACCATGAAAATGAGGTCAAGGACAATGGACATATGACAGACGGAAACTTCGTAACATAAGGCATATATATACAAAGTATGAAGCATCCAGGTCTTCTAGCTTCTAAAATATAAAGCTTTTAAGAAGTTAGCTAACACCGCCGCCGCCGCCGGATCACTATCCCTATGTCAAGCTTTCTGCAACAAAAGTCGCAGGCTCGACAAAAACGATCAATACCTGTCCTTAGCAGACCACTGTGTTATAATTGGACGAAAATGACAATTGTCTAAACACTGCTATGAAATTGACATCCCAGTCGATTGTTCTATCTATGTAAACATGTATAATGATTGTCTGGACTTCTGTTGTCTGGACTTCTGTGGTTATTATTAGTTTATTGAAATGTTTAATTTGTTGAATGAGATCAGCTGGTACTTTAAAATTTTCTGTATTTTACTTGTTATTTTTCGTTTTTTTTTGTGTGTGTGGAATAAGCAGTTATACATTGTTGTATTTATTATATATGTTTATCGTCTTATGACTTGTGATCGAAGTTTAGTGGTTTTGTGAAATATCAAAATAAGAAGATGTGGTATGATTGCCAATGAGACAACTCCCTACAAGAGACTAAATGATACAGAAAAATACAGTAAAAGAAATAGAACATTAATATAATGGAATATGTAGACAGCTATCTCACAAGCAAAAAAAACATAACTGTAAAAATATAAGGGCATACACTACAGGCACGGTGACTATCTGATTATTTTTAGAGTTTGCTTCATTGCAGTCATTTTTGAAGTTTGGTAAACAGAAAATATTGCATTTAAGCAATTAAAGAGAAAAATACTGCGTTTTCATGAGCAACAGCGTTGTCATTTGTAATGACGGATTTGGTTAACAATACCAGAAATAAACCTATTTTTGTGGTTATATTTGTTGAGGCAGTGTATCTGATCAATGTGTTGCTTTAATTGTATTTCCATTTAATAAGAACCAAGGTCTCTGCTGGTGTCATCATATTTAAAAGTTTGCTCTGTATAACAAATGTATAGTGGACTATGCAGTAGATAGTGATTTTGAGTATAGTATGCATACATTCATTGGCTAGTTGATTGAATATTAGATGAAGACGTAACTATAGGAATGCTTGTTTATTAAAATATTGGATTTATTTAAGACTTTTTAATGACCAAAACGCCTTGACCATTGAAAACAAACGGGGTTTGTTTATTTGTTCCGGGGGGGGGGGCTATATGTCAGTTTGGTTGGTCAAAACGTTTGGTAAAGTTAGCATATGTTAAAGAGTTATCTCTCCTTAACCAGTTATTGAGTTTTGCGTAGTGCGGCATAAGTCCGTATTTGGTTTAAGAATTAGACAGTTGTTTGTTCTCTTGATTTATTGTGACCATACATGTACATGCGTTTGTTAATTTGAACAGTAGTTGATTATTTATGGCAAAGAAAAGCATAAAAGTTTTTATGTTTTTTCCGACTGGGTAAAATAAGAAGTTTACAATTTTGGTATATATTCATTTGTCTATTGTTCTCTGGATAACATGCCTTTTGCAATGTTTTGATCATAGAATTCGAATGTATTATTTAGTGAATGACAATATATTTCTGTTTTCTTTTCAGTAAATTGTATTATGGAACGTATTATGACGTATTTGGAACCTATTGACCTGTATTAGAATGTATTTTGATCCTTCACTGTGTTCACTGGATTTAATAAAGATCAATAAACTCTTCTCTGGAATATCCTTTCACCTATATTTCCACACCCTAAAATACTAACCAACACACGGATGATCTAGAGGATGATCAAAATATGTCCCGAGTATGAAAGTTTCTGGAGAAAAATGTAAAATAATTTTATTTCTTTTTATATTTTGATAAATAAATAGCCAAACAACCGTAAAACAGCAATTATCAACAAGTGTAAATGATTTCTATTTTTTTTATGACGGTGAGTTTTGTTAAAAAAATATCCGTACTTTTTATGGCAGTACAGAAGTACTTGCTACTGGGCTGATCATACCCCCTGGGACTGTCACATGCAGTTTGTTGTTTGTTTACAGATATCATTCCCCCTGGGACTGTCACATGCAGTTTGTTGTTTGTTTATAGATATCATACCGCCGACATCTCGTCCTGAGGAGCACGTAATCAATCGGCAGTCGAGGTGGTTATTCATATTAAATAGAAAGAACAATATGTATTTTGTCAAATAGGATTTTTGTTTCTAAATACAGTTGATTTTAGAACAGATTTCGTACGTATTCGAATAGGTAAGAGCTTGATTTTAACAATATAATTCATGATGCTATGTTCTATGCTATTTCTCTCTTTTTTATCTAGACTTTATTAGTCAGTGAAACTTATATACGATCTACGAATTTTCATTTTGATATTTTTTTTAATATTTCCCAGTCTCTTAATAATGTATATGGTATGTCATACCCAGGACATGATAAAACATTACGTAATTGATTAACGGGCTTTTTATACGGTAAAAACCCAGAATGATGCTGCATGTCTATCTTAAAAGCTGTTGCCACTATCCCAATGAAGACATCTTCTATTTGTATAATCCTAACATATTTTACTGCTTCTGCTAGCACTTGTATTGTTTTCATATTTGTTAATAGTGTTCCTCCTATGATATAAGGCGGAAAGTAAACGAAAGGATACTCCTCCCATGACATCACATTTTTTGAAGTTACTCTCCTAAATGGTTTGGTTGAATGAAACATATATCCTAACATACCAACATCTGATTGTGCAATGCTTTCTTTTGCAACATCGTAGACATTCAATGTATTTACTAAGCGATCATCATCAACTAAGTGTACAAATTCAGCTGTTATATTAAGTTTCGATAGGCATATAATTGAATAAATCGATTTATACACTATGTTCTTGTATATATCTTCTACGTTCAATATAATAATATCTTTATACAGTTTCGATTCGAAATAACCAACATCTGTCATATTTTGTAAGTATCCTACGACAAAGACAGTTTTCACACGTAGTTCTTTAACATGTCCCCATGTTTTACGGATAGCGTCTCGTTTGCCGAAGTTAAGCAGGTGTGATTTCACAACAAGCAATAATTGTATGTGATCAGATGCTTCAAACACTTTCTTTGGATCTTCAAGAAAGGCATCATTAATCAAAAATGTATTGAATGGCGTTACATTTGAACCTCCTTTTTCGAGAACATCAGCTAAAATGTGTTCAGTATTCCAAAATAAATCATTTTTTCCAAAATATAGCATAGATTGTAAACCTTTAAGTTTGAGAAACAGAAATCCACACAGTAACACCATACATAGTTGTAATCTGAAAGTAGAAAGTAAAAGCTCCTAAACACAATGATGCACTACAAACATTCTCACAAACATTTTCAAAACGGAAAAGGGTGAATTTGTTGTCCTAAAAGAGAGGCGAAAGATAACCAAACTCATTAGTCGAAAATACACTGACAATGCCATAGCAAAAAACGAAAAAAGACATAAATTGGTAAAGGATTTTCAGGTATATTAATAACAATTGTTAATCATACGATGCAAACTGATATCGTTTCGGCCATCAATCATCACTGTTACTGTACACGATTGGTCGATCCAAAAAGGGAGGCGAAAGATATCAAAGGGATATTCAAACTCATAAGTCGAAAATAAACTGACATATCCATGACTGAAAAAAACCAACAGACAAACAATAGTACACAAAACACAACATAGAACACTAAAGACTTATTAACACGAACCCCACCAAAACCTAGGGGTGATCTCAGGTGCTGCGGAAGGGTAAACAGATCATGCTCCAACAAGAAGACACTGCATTGATATTTTTTATGGATTCAAATTTAATAGTTTGTTTTGGTATATTTCCTTTTCACAAGTTTCTTCAACATATATATTAAATCAATAATGTAATTTAACTCCCGTAAGCAACTTTAAGCTAGACATTTGATATTTTTAATAAAACGTAAATGAAATACATTTAGTAAAGTGAAGAATGCATTGGTTTGTTAAGATATTGCGCGTCATGTAACAGCAATATCCTGACCTTTTAAAGTTACTTTATTTTTACTATTTGTGCTTATTTTTTCACTGCTTCCTGTAATAAGATGCATGTGGTTCATAAGTGTTTCTCGTTTTTTATATAGATTAGACAATGTTAACTTATTTTATGTTATATCTCGTCTTACTATTTTTAATATGTACCACCTTTGAAAAGTATTTAGTATGACGAAATTTGTTTTACTTCTGTACTCGTACTATGAACAACAATTTTATTTTGTAAAAAATGTTTCTGTACTCATAACAGCAAAATTATTATATTTAAATTTACCTGTGTACGTTACTTTATCTAACGCCATTTTGTCCTAGGTTATAGTCTTTTTGACATTGAAACATCTTTTTTTTTAATTTATATTGTGTCATAGATCAAACTTATTCGTTCAGTCTATATTTACTTGTTTTTGTGTATTGTCTTTTTGATCGAGTTAAGCCATTTCAATTGATATTTTATTGTGTGTCTTTTTATGTTGTAATGTTATACCACTGTTTCAGGTTAGAGTGAAGGTTGGCGCCTGTTAAAATGTTTAAACCCGCTGCATTTTTATGCACCTGTTCTAAGTCAGGAGCCTTTGTTCAATGGTTGTCGTTTGTTGGTGTGGTTCATAAGTGTTTCTCGTTTTTTATATAGATTAGACCGTTGGTTTTCCTGTTTGAATTGTTTTACACTAGTCTTTGTGGGGCCCTTTATAGCTTGCTGTTCGGTGTGAGCTAAGGCTCCGTGTTGAAGGCCGTACTTTGACCTATAATTGTTTACTTTTTACACATTGTGACTTGGTTGGATAGTTGTCTCATTGGTACTCATACCACATCTTATTTAAAGTTAAGTTTTCGTGGTCAAGTTCATATCTCAGATACTATAAGCAATAGGTCTACTATATTTGAAGTATGGAATAATTGTAAGGTGAACATGTCCAACTGGCAGGTGTCATCTGACCTTGACCTCATTTTCATGGTTCGGTGGTTAAATTTTGAAAATAGTAAGAAGATATAACACAAAATAAGTAAACATTGAATAACAGAAATGCATTACAAATTGTGTCAACAGGTCAAATTAACACGAAAGTACGATTTGAGAGTACTCACAGTTACTGAAAGCTAGTTAAGTGCCAGTCTTTGTAAGAATCAGGCAATTTAGAAAAAAATTCGTACGGGTTCCGCGGAACCCAGTGTCTCGCCTACTTTTGCTGTTAATCACAGGCTCAACAAAAATGAGGAAAAAAATTAATAAAAATATTCCTCTCTATACTATCTTTTAATTGTAAGTAGCTTCTGTCCAAGTTTGGTAAAAATCCAGGATAGTTTATGAATCTAATAAATGTTTTAAAAACTTAAACTGCAGACTGTATGTAATGTTAACTGGAAGAAAAACTAAGTCCATTTATAAGTAAAATACGGAAAAAATGGAACAAAATTTTAACAAAATTTCCTTCTAGATACTAGCTTTTAATCATAAACAAGCTTCTGTCCAAGTTTGGTACAAATCCAGGACAGTTTAAAAAAGTTGTTAAAATTCTAAAAACTTTAACCACAGAGTGAATGTAATGTTAACTGGCAGAAAAACTAAGTCCATTTATAAGTAAAATACAGAAAAAATGGATTTTTTTTTTTACAAAATTTACTTCTGGATACTATCTTATGATCATAAACAAGCTTCTGTCCATGTTTGGTAGAAATCCAGGATAGTTTAAGAAAGTTATTAAAATTTCAAAAACTTTAACCACAGAGTGAATGTATTGTTTCTGGCAGAAAAACTAAATCCATTTATAAGTAAAATACGGAAAAAAATGGGGAATTTTTTTTTTACAAAATTTACTTTTGAATATTATCTTATGATCATAAACAAGCTTCTGTCCAAGTTTGGTAGAAATCCAGGATAGGTTAAGAAAGTTATAAAAATTTCAAAAACTTTAACCACAGAGTGAATATTTGTGGACGCCGCCGACGACGACGACGACGCCGACGGAATGTAGGATCGCTATGTCTCGCTTTTTCGACAAAAGTCGATGGCTCGACAAAAATCAAAACATAGCTGAAAAAAACCCACCGACCTAACCACCCTATTTTGAAGATAGTACCCTCATCCCGAGTTAGAAATGGTAGGTCTTTCTTTTCTGTGTGTCTGGTAATTCGAGCAATATCTAGATAAATTTTGGTTAGAATGATAGCAAATTACGGAGTTATCTCCCCTTTATTGTTAATTTCTAGTGCATTTCAACCAAATTATATCTTGAATTACCAGAACAGGGAAAGGAAACAAATGTTATATTCATGCACCATTATACATTCTGAACTTAAATTAATGTAAAGTTGAGTGGGTTTTTGTTGTCATGTTTTCACCACTGCCTGATTCTTAGACAGATTGACACTTAAAAGCCAAAAACAATAAAAAATAAAAAAAATCATGCATCAGAGACTAAAATCAATTAAAACACATCCCAGGCAGGGATTTAGTGTTTTAACGTCATGGACAGTCAAGGAAGACATGACTTGTGCAATGCCAAAATAAAAGTAACGACAGGCAGTAGGATAGTTGGGATTTAACCTTATAATAAATATGTATGATGTTCTGTATAGATAAAACAATTTCTAAATAGAAAATAAACGTGCATGTGTATATATGCATCCAAAAAAACCATTCGAAAAGAATACTAATTTAGTTATGTTTTAATTTGTTGATGACAAAATCGATGTTAGTGCCAATGAAAACAATATTCAAAGATCTTATTACAACATTAATAAGATAACCTTTACTAATAAGTTTGTTTAAAGGTTCGATAAGTTTACACGGATCACATAGTGATTTCCGCGCTTTTAGTACAATATTACCGTAAAATTTAGGATGTGAAATACCATTTTTAACCAGTTTTCTACAGGTACAGCCAAATTTACTAATCAAATCTTTGTATCTATGAAAGAATTTAGTAAATGTTTTAAGTAATTTATGGTAACGAAATCCCTGACTTAATAATTTACCAGTGATACATTGATAACGTTCGTTAAAATCTATGACATCACTACACACACGCGCATAACGAACGAGTTGGGATATATAAACACCGTATGATGGAGCCAAAGGAACATCGCCGTCTAAAAAAGGAAAATTAACAAAAGGGAATGAAAAATCTCTTTTGTCGTAAATTTTTGTATGGAGTTTTACCTTTAGAAATAGAAATGTCTAAATCTATAAAAGGACAACTACTGCTGATTATGTTATGATTTATTTAAAGTAAGTTCCTTTGGGTAAATTTCGGTAAAATATTTAGAGAATTCTGGATTATTTAATGAAAAAATATCATCAAGATAACGGTAGGTATTGTTGAATGTGTCAATTAAATGTAGCAATGATTTTGATTCATAGCAGTATAGGAATAAATCTGCTATTAAAGGGGCGCAATTAGTGCACATAGGAATACCTACTACCTGTCGATACACTTTATCGCCGAAACGTACATATATGTTGTCCAGGAGAAACTTTAAAAGCTTCAATCATATCTTCACATTTCCAGTATGTGTATCTAGCATACTTTCCTTTTTCATTACAGAAAAAGGCTTTAAACGAGTTACAGCAAATAAATTTGCAGTGAGATTTTTCAAAAGACCATTTAATTAAATACGAAAACTTTTTCTTGGCAAGATTGTGTGGAAGTTTAGTGTTGAGAGTAGAAAAATCATAACTGTCAACAGAATTAAAAGGACCATCAAAAGCACGTATTTTATCTTAAACCTCTAAAGAATTTTCAACACTCCAAAAATAATTAATACCATTATTTTCATAAGCTTAATTATTACAAAAGAACTTTCAAATGTTCGGAAGAGGCTTTAAGCTGGGTAGTGGCAGTGATATGCTTGTTTACAATTTAACTCTCTGTGGAGCGTACGGACCTGAATGTAGAAAAATTGATAATTTCGTTTTGGAGAACATCCGTGTAGTATATGCGTCACACCACTACTACATTAGTGGCTGCTTTGTCTGCCGGTACGAACACAAACCGCTTTGCGAGTACTTGGAATTTATTTTTTATTCTAGAAATGGATATATCATGAACCTTATTATTAATTTCAGAATTGTTCTCAAAATGAGATATACGAATATCAATAGTATTCATAAATCTATTCAAATAACTGTCTAGAGATTTTTTATCAGATTTTTCACGTTTACACCATTTTTTACAGAAGGCAGACAGAGCGTCTTTAATGACCTGACGTCACTGTTTCCAATCTATAATAGATGGAGGACGATATTTGGGTCCTTTCCTAAGAAAAGTTTTGACCTCACGGTCTTCAACGATGTCGAGGTCTCCTGTAATGACATGACCATAGGGAACATATCTAAAACTAGATGTTTCACAGTCTCAAGTGGAAGGAGCATTATTTTCTATATTGACGTCTGATGTTACTGACGTATAATTAAAAATCAAACTTCTGCTGTTTTTTTTGTACGAATACGAAATAATAGGTGGTTCTGTGTTATCAAAATATGGAGGTATTTGACTATGGATGGTAGAGTCATTGAATATACTAGAAAGGTTTAATAGTAAAATCAATACCTCTATTTATATATTTTAATCTTAAAAAAATGCCGTTAATGATTTTCAGGTTTATCAATACTAGAAAACAGCCTGAGATGACAAATGGCTGTAATTATACAGGTGTATTCATACAACGGGCTGAAAAATGAAATTTTATCACACTCCAGAAAAATATCATATAGTTTACTTATTGGTATATGACCAAGTTTGCATAGTAATTGATGTCTACCATTATTTTTTTTATCATAGATAACAGATTAGCAAGTGTTTAATTTATACGGGGTTTATTACGTAGATTACGGTTTTTACGTTTAACATGAGACCTATTATTTCTTAGCCGTTTATCGACAATATTCATGACATCAATAGAAGTTTTAGATATGTTCCCCTATCCCAATATTTTGTCATTGTGACCGAGAGGATAAACTGTTTGAAATCTTTTCATCCAAAATAGTTCGCGAACTTCACGGGATTTTTCAAATTGTTTGTGTGATTGTTTGTTCACTCATTCATGAAATGAGGTCGAGGTCAAGTGAAAACTGTCTGACAGACATGAGAACCTTGCAAGGTTCGCACATACTAAATATAGACATCCTATTAATCATAATAAGAGAGAAATTAAGAATACTAAAAATCTTAACTTTTTTTTCAAGTAGTCACTGAACCATGAAAATGAGGTCAAGGACAAAGGACATATGACAGAAAAAACTATTGAATTTGATATTGAAACAATTCAAAAATGCATTTCAAAAATGAAAACTGGAAAAGCTACTGCATGACCAATTTGGAATTTCTGCTGAACATTTTAAATATGGAGGTGAAAAAACAGCCCAAATACTTACAAACTTGATAAATGAAGCATTCAAATTTAAGCGTGTACCACAGTGTTTCAAAGAAGGTATTGTTTCACCGTTGTTCAAAGGTCATGGAAAAACCTATCTGCCTACCGAAATCTTATCGACGTATTACAATTTCTCCTGTAATGGGAAAACTGATGGAATCGGTACATCTTTATTTAGAGGAACCTAAACTACTAAAGGTACAGAGCAGACTTCAACGTGGCTTTACTGCCGGGGTCAATCCTACTTTTGCAGCACTTCCCCTTACTGAGGCAATCATAGAAGCAAAAGAATTAGGACAAACACTATATACTACTTTTGTCGATGCGTCATCCGCTTTTGATTTTGTTTGGCATGCCTCTCTGCTAAAAAGGATATTTCAAAGTGGAATGTCTGGACAAAGTTGGCAAATCTTAAATGATTGGTACACAAATATGAACTCTGCAGTCCGCTGGGAAGGCAAGTTATCTACATCGTTTGCTGAACTCCAAGGCGTCCGTCAAGGCAGCGTATGGTCACCTTCCGTCTACAAACTTTTCGTTAATCCACTAATAAAGAAGTTAGAAAGTGACATTTTGGGTTTTTAAATTGGAGATGATTTTGTGGGTACTCCAATGTGCGCAAACGATCTGCTACTTGTCTCCCCCAAACCGGATGAACTCCAGTCTATGATAAACTATACTTCCCATTTTGCAGAGACAGAAGAATATAAGATAAGTAAGGAAAAAACTAAAGTTATGATACGGAACTCATCTTTAAATTGCAACCTTTGGAATCAAATGGAAAAGTTCCACATTGGCTCAGAAGCATTAGAAACTGTAGAAAATTATAAACATATAGGAATTGATAGAGACTCTCGTGAAGTAGAGTCAACAAGGACAATCGTTGGAAATCGTCTAAAAACTGCAAGACAGACGTCTTACGCACTTATGGGCTCAGGACTGCATGGTTTAAATGGACTTAACCCAGAGGTGTCATGTAAACTCTGGTCAACGTATGTGGTTCCACGTTTGTTATTTGGACTTGAAATAGTAAATCTTAGTGCTAAAGATATTTCCCGCTTGGATATCTTCTGTAATAACTTTCTGAAACAAATTCAAAATCTTCCCGCTAGAGCCTCCAACGCTGGAGCTTATCTACTTATAGGTCAATTACCTACATGTATCATTGCACTTCTACATAAAAAGATCCTGACAACGTTTGGTACCATAGCTAGAAGCGACTCTGTTGAAAATGATCTTGCTAAACGTCAACTGTTTACAAAAGGAAAAAATTCAAAAAGCTGGTTTATAAGGGCTGACAAGATTTTGAAACAATATAATTTACCGTGTGCCTCAGAGGTTTTACATAAACCAGAGACAAAATACAAGTGAAAAATGAAAGTAAAGAAGTCTGTTGATGGCTTTTGGTCCGAAAAACTGTTTACTGAAGCCAAATCAAAGCCGTCATTACGGTACTTGAATATCAAAAACTGTAAAATTGGTGCTGTTAATTCTATATGGAAGAGTGCAGGTTCGGAACAAATGTGTAAACGTAAAGCCTGTTATAAGACCAAAATGCTTTTGGATACATACATTCTACAGTACCACCGCTCAAAATTTTCAAATGGTAAAAAAACTTCAATTTGTCCACTGTGTGAGGAAGGAACTGAAAACTTAGAACATTTTCGTGTCGTGTGCTCTACCTTAACAAGTATTAGAGACATTTTCATCTCAAAACTTTATACAGTCGTTGTACCAAAGATTGGAACTGCTGCATGGTCTGACATATGTGTTAGCAACTCGAAAATGGTAAAATTAATCTTGGACTGTAGTCTTTTAGATTGGTACTATGTGTTAGAGAAAATGACATTAATTTGGTGCCGTGGAATCGATTACAAGAAGTCTGTGTTAATCTCTTCATGAAAAACGTAGTGCTCTCCTTGAAAGTAAATAAAACATTTATAAGTTGTAAGGTCTACCAAACTCATAGGTTGTAAATAGATAAAATTGTTTAAAAATAATTTATAGTGACTGGAAACAGACTGTAAATATTGTGAAACAAAATTTTACTGGATGAACTCCAGGTTCTCCTGATAGAGGTGGGATTTACATAAAATAACAGGTAACAGGTAACAGACAGAAACTTCATCAAACTATAATCAAAGTATGAAGGATCCAGGTCTTCTACCTTCTAAAATATTAAGCTATTAAGAAGTTTGTTAACGCCGCCGCCACCGGATCGCTATCCCTATGTCGGGCTTTCTGCGACAGAAGTCGCAGGCTCGACAAAAATACAGATGGTATTGCAACAGCTGAACATATTCATCATTCAAGCGATATAGACGATGTTTATTCATAGTATTACAGAACGGTATGTCTGATATTACTTATATGCGTCATATAGTTATATCAAATCCCAAGATGAACGCTAATGTTTAACTGTTTATATAAAATATTGTCACTGGGTCGACACCATTGCTATTGGAATGTTAGTCGTCGAGGGTTTTCTTAAAGTCAGTATTTAGTATTTCGGAATTAACAAAATGGGAATATACTACATATTCCATTATTTCTGTTACTGGTCTCTTGTGGAGAGTTGTCACATCTTCTTTTTTATATTTTCTCCATCGGTATTTGAAAAAAATAAGAAAACTAGGGTTTTATCTTTCTAAGGCAAGGTTCCTTTTGATCATATAGCACCTCGAGTCTTCATGCAGGTATATACAGATATGATATACATCAACAAACGACAACCACTGAATTACAGGCTCCTGTATGTATCAGTTGCTTACAAATGTTTTGTTTTTGTTCATTATTTTGTAAATAAATCAGGCAATTAGTTTTCTCGTTTGAATTGTTTTACATTTGTCATTTTGAGGTCTTTTATAGCTGACTATGCGGTATGGGTTTTGCTCATTGTACGGTGACCGATAGTTGTTAATTTCTATGTCATTTGGTTTCTAGTTGAGAGTTGTCTCATTGGCAATCATACCATATTTTCTTATTTTTATACTAAAATACGAAAAAATGATAATAAATATTTTCAAAATTTTTCTCTGAATATTGTATTTTGGTCATAAACAAGCTTCTGTCCAAGTTTCATAAAATTCCACGAAGGTTTGACAAAGTTATTGATGACCGAAAAACTTTAATCTCAGATTGAATCTGAATGTTAACTGTAGAAAAAACCAAGTCCATTTATCAGTAAAATATGGAAAAATGAAAATAAATATTTTCAAAATTTTGCTCTAGATACTGTATTTTGGTCATAAACAAGCTTCTGTCAAATTTCAAAAATGTCCATGAAGGTTTGACAAAGTTATTGATGTCTAAAAAAACTTTCACAGACTGAACCTAAATGTTGACTACGCCGACGACGGAATCTAGGACCGCTATGTCTCGCTTTCGCGAAATAAATTTCGCAGGCTCGACAAAAAGGAATCATGCATGCTTTTAAAGGTGCAACCATTTATATAAGCATGAACAATTGTTCTATTATTTGAATGTTTGACAAACCCTGTGAAACTTAAGATAACTTACAAAATTAATTGAACCCTTCTTCTTGAAAATGTAAACCATCCATTGGATCGTACCATTTTTATTCCAATCAGCAAAGCTACTCTGTTTCAAAGGCTGGGGCGTGCTGAAAAATGTAGTAATCATTTTTATGTTAATGTGGCATGCACGATAAATCTACTTGATACAGTATACATAAATGTCGGCTTGGTTTTAGAATAAAGGAAATAACTAAAATAGTTCAACAGGTTAAATAGAGAAACGTCTATACTAATCAATTGTACACTATTAGAATGCTTTCAAATGGAAGTATATAATATTTAGCTAATCTCTTAAAAAATCACAAGTTAAAAATAATGTTTTCCCGGCTGAAATGATTAATCCACTTCTCGAAATGAAAGAAACATAATGTAACGAAGCATATAAGGAGGAATTCGACGAAAAATAAAACAAGAGTGCACACGCTGAAATGTCTCGCCTGTTTTACTGACCATTGATTTTATGTTGAAAGTCTTGAAGATAAAGGTTTTACAACAAGTATCACATAAACTTAACATTTTAAAAAATCCATGACAATGAGGTCAAGGTCAGATAAAAATTGTCACACAGACATGTACACCTTACAATTATTCCATACACCAAATATAGTTGACCAATTGCTTATGGTAATTGAAAAACAGACTAATAAAACACAAAACTAAACGTTAACCAACGAACCAGGAAAATGAGGTCAAGGTCAGATGACATCAGCTAGACAGACGTTTTGAAGACCGTACTGTGAACTATAATGGTTTACTTTTATAAATTTTGACTTGGATGGAGAGTTGTCTCATTGGCACTCATACCACATTTTTCTTATATCTATGTACACCTTACAATCATTCCATACACCAAATTTAGTTGACCTATATCGATTACAGTACTTGAAAAACAGACCAAAACATTAAAAATTAACAATGACCAATGAACCATGAAAATGAGGTCAAGGTCATCTGAAACCTGCCAGTCTGACATGTACTCCTTACAATCATTCCATACACCACATATACCGTAGTTGACCTGCTGCTTGTAGAATCTGAGAAACGGACCTAATCACGTAACTTTAACCTTGGTCATCGGTCCATGAATTGAGATCGAGGTCAGGTTAACCCTGTCTGACGGACATGTAGATGTTGCAAGGAACCCATATATCAAATATAGTTATCCTATTACTCATAATAAGTGAGAAATTCACATGACAAAATATCTGTAATTCTTTTTTCAAGCAGTCGCTGAACCATGAAAATGAGGTCAAGGACAATGGGCATATGACAGACGGAAACTTCGTAACATAAAGTATATGCATACAAGGTATGAAGCATCCAGGTCTTCTATCTTCTGATGAAATTTAAAGCTTTATACAAATAGTTTACGCCGCCGCCTGATAGTAATACCTATGTCTCGCAGGCGAGAAAAAAAATAATTAAACATTACAAACAACTATGTATCAACGCTCAATGAACATCAGAAACAATGAGGACAAGTCAAAACGACAACGGAGGAAATCATTCATACAAACATATAAACAGAGTTCCGTATTGCCCAACACTATTACAATAGGGAAATACACGGGTTTAATTTCACAGTTCGTTTTAAAAACGCCTTTTGGCAGGAATTAACAACATATATCTATCTCTTTTGTTAAGCTGTGTTTGTTGCAATGCAAATCTCCGAATTACGGAAGCAAGTTAAGGCGAATTGTTGTAAACCTCTGGCATCTTAAATCTCTTAAATGCCATTTCGGAATAAAAATATAAAGGAGGTAAAAAATTTGACAATTGTTTTATTTATTTAAATACATCATGTTACTCATCTTTATTTTGAAGTGACATAACCTCCTCCGTACTCATAAGAGGTGCTACAAATTGTCCTTTTCATCAGTTTTTCATTATATACAATTGTTTGTTTGTCTCAATGGAACAAAAAGAATAGATCTGAAGAACAAACAGATCGCTATGAAATATATTTTTCTTTAAATAGAAGCATATAGAAATAAACTGTTACAGCAGATTCCATTGAGTGTGTAGCCAAAGGTAATATCTTTGGTTAGCTTGCTTGTTAGCTGAACCGTGAAGTCATTGTTAGGTTAGGTAAACTACCCTACTTTAAGAATAGACTAGTCCGACAGAAAACCAATCGATCTGTCTGTTGGACTATGCTACTTCGAAAGGAGGGTAGTATACCTGACCTAATAATGACTTCACGGTTCAGCTAACAAGCAAGCTAACCAAAGATAAATACTTTTGGCTACACACTCAATGGAATCTGCTGTAACAGAGAGATATGTCTCACTTATTTGTTATTTTGATAATGCAAATGTTGAAATTAAAATAGCAATACTTTAACATGTAAGTTATGCAAATATGCCAGTTGTTGGCACGATACGGGTTATGTTCTTCTCATATACTTTATGATGGTATGATACTAAACCCCTAACGGAAGGGATTGTACTTGATTTTCATATGATGAAGACATAATCTTTCAATCAGTTTAATTGAGGTCTGGAGCTGGCATGTCAGCAACTGCTAGTAGTCCTTTGTTCATTTATCAATATGTATCATTGTCATTTTGCTTAGTTTCTTTTGTTACCTTTTCTGACATCGGACTCGGACTTCTTTTAAACTGAGTTTTACTGTGCGTATTGCTATGTGTTTCTTTATTCTACATTGGCTAGAGGTATAGGGGGAGGGTTGAGATCTCACAAAACATGTTTAACCCTGCCGCATTTTTGCGCCTGTCCCAAGTCAGGCCTTTGTTAGTCTTGTATGTTTTTTAATTTTAGTTCATTTATATGTTTTGGAGTTTAGTGTGACGTCCATTTTCACTGAACTAGTACACAATTTTATTTAGGGGCCAGCTGAGGACCACCTCCGGGTGGGGGATTTTCTCGCTGCGTTGAAGACCCTTCGGCTTCGGCTGTTGTCTGCTCTTTGATCGGGTTGTTGTCTCTTTGACATATTCCTCATTTCCATTCTCAATTTTAAAGTCAATGAACCATGACTGAAGGTACAGGGCTAAACAATCTCCATGGAAATGAGATGTGCCAATGCTAATACAACTACATACCAAATACCATCGACTTTTCATAAGTCGTTCCATTTAAACACACCTAAACACAAACATTAACTTGTAAACTATGTAAAAGTTTCAAATTCAATGAACCATAATGAGGGGGTCGGGTTATATAATCTCCATGGAATTGAAGCTTGCAAATACCAATACATTTGCATACCAAATATCATTGACTAAACATTAGTGGTTCATCTTAAACTGACCTAATCACAAACTAATACATATAAACTAACAAAAGTTTCAAAGTCAATAGACCATGACTGAGGGGGTTAGGACCAAATATTCTCCAATGAAATGAGATGTGCTAATGCTTATACAACTGCATACCAATCATCATTGACCTATCACTAACTGTTCCCCTTTAACTGACCTAATCACAAACTAATACATGAAAACTAAGCAAAAGTTTCAAAGTCAATAGACCATGACTGAGGGGACAGGGCCAAATAATTTCCATGGAAATGAGATATGCCAATGCTTATACAACTGTATACCAAACATCATTGACCTACCACTAGTGGTTCCCCCTAAACTGACCTAATCACAAACTAGTACATATAAACTAAGCAAAGTTTCAAAGTCAATAGACCATGACTGAGAGGGCGGGGCCAAATAATCTCCGTAATAATGCGATGTGCCAATGCTAATATAACTGAATACCAAATATCATTGACCTGCCACGAGTGGTTCACCATAAACTAGACCTAATCACAAACTAATACATTGTTGACGCTGCTGCCGCAGCCGCCGATGCCGGAAACAGCATACCTATGTCTCTCTTTTTGACTCCGTCAAGGCGAGACAAAAACTCTAGCATGCGCAAAATAATAAGTTATAAATATTGAAATAAGGAAATAAAGATATTATGACAAATTCAACACAGCAATTTATGCTTATTCCATTTCAGCATATGCTTGAATATGAAATTATCCGACTATTAATTCAGAAATTCTTAAGTAACTAAGGTTTCAACTCAGGCAGAGTTGACCTTAGATAGATTTGGTTATTTTTATGCCCCTTTTTATAATATACCTCGTCACATTGTTGTTGCGTAATATTGCAAAACTTTATTCTATACATTATTTTAATTAACAAAAAATTATGATCAAATGTCTAGTAAGTTATAACTGAATTAACAAATTAATCTACTTTCAACTCTGTGTTAAAGTTGTAATATTTGTCACTGGTGCAAAAGAGCGTCCACAGCGGAAAACGCTGAAAAAAATCAAAATGAAACTTAAAAAACAATTTAGCGCGGTTATATGATTGTGTTTGGTAAATATCGTGCAATCCAGTCCTCATCAAACCCTCAAACAAGGTACATCGCTGTATTCCGCAAATAACTCCATTTCCCGGAATCTAATACATGTATACATGAAACAGTAATTTTAGGACTATTACGTGTTGCCTTAATAATAGAAAATTTGTCAAGCTTTAAATTGTCCGCCTATAAAAAAAGTTGTGAATGCATTGAACAGTGGTTTTAAACATAGAGCAAATTAGAACAGGAGCGTAGAAATTATTATACACATGAAAAGGGGGGGGGGGGATTTCTACACCCTCTTCTGGGTGTGATTAATGGAATAGTTTTTTTTTAATTGATAAATCGTTTTATAATTTTTGTTATACACAGGCCTACAGAAGGAGTTATAATCATTAAGAGCCAAGATGATGTCATTGTAAAGGAAATAAGAAATTATACAATGAATATATAAAGTACATACAAAATTAAAAGAGTATAACTAACTTAAACATGTTAAACTTAAATATAAACTAGATTCTTAAGTATAATTAACTTAAACATGTTAAACATAAATATAAACTAGATTCGTAAGTATAATTAACTTAAACATGTTAAACTTAAATATATAAACTAGATGCGTAAAATGATAGTTTTGTAAGCTTGACCATTTGAAATATTTCCATTAGGTCCAATAGGCCGGATGCAACATTGACATTACAAACTTTGTAATTGTGTTATATTTATTTATACATGTTCAAAAGTCACTATTTTAAACAAATTACTTACTTTCTAGCAAACCAACGTGAGAAAATCCGTCCTTATATTTTTTGCTCAAATTATAACTCAAAATTGACTTCTTGAAAAAAAAATAGAAGTTAGACTTTTTTTAACAATTTCCCTTGATACAAATAAAACAAAGGCACCGTTAATCAAATTCTTTCAATTATTCTTTCATCCAGCTACTATTAAATAATCAATTAGTAACGATCAAAAGACAATTGTTTATAGGATAAGGTTGAATGAACATGATGATTGGGAATATGTACTTAGTCGTGTGTCACGTGCCGGTCGCATGCGCTGATTAAAAAATTAAAAAGTCGTTTTTCAAAATCATAATATGTATTGATACCAAACTTCATATTTATGCTTTATATGCTTATATCTTCTTGTATCCATGTTATTTGTGCTCCTAAAACACCGTTTAAGTGTCCTTAGTGCAAAAACTTTGTTCTAAGAAGTCCTTGGCGGTATTTCTACACACCGGTTTGAATAGTGATGAAGGAAAACTGTTCATATGATACAGGTCAACTCGATTCGCGCATTCGTTCATTTTTTATATGAAAAGTTTATCTTCAAATTTTATTATATACCAGATTTAAATAGGGTATTGAAGTGTTATTACATAAGATCGTAGAATCTACAGTTCTTATGTTTATATACATTTACGATCTTTATTGTTATAAAGTGTAACACTCGTTCTGAGTCTCGACATTCAAGACAGTTGCATACGGTGTAAAAATATGAACGATTGGACCGTTATACTAAAATTTATAAAGAAAGAATAATACTGACCTTATATAAGAAACTTTTCCAAACACAGAATTATTGATAATGTTAATTTCAACAGATGTTATTTTTAGACAGGTAAATATATGTTGACCCACAGGAATTAAACCGCCAAAATAAACTAACCAATAGTATATCTTTATTCTCAGCCAATGCATAACATCGGTACAGAGATACTATGGCTGTGTTTGGATATATACGCTTAAGGCGGTAGTTACCTTTGGGTTCCGAAGGTTTGATACTTTATTTATCAAAATATCAAACCATGGGTACCCAAAGGTACTTATGGATAACCATAGCTAGGCCGCCTTATGCGTATATCCAAACACAGCCATGAAAATAAATCAAAGCACTGAAGTACTGAACATCGGATGACTGCAAGTGCTTGTGGATGGTCACAAGCATTTATCTCAGAAAAAAAATCACACCTCTTTACTAGTACCTGAAAGTGAGGTTAATGTACAGATATTTTTTTCTTAGACAAGTTCGTGCGTGGATGATGAATAAATGTCAGGGAATTCAACCTCGCTGTAATAAATATGATATTGAAGTGATGCAAATCAGTATACTCTGGTTTGTTGTTATATATTATATTAATATTTGTATATTACAGTTACATGTATATATAATTTTCATCCATTTGTATATCATTCTATTCTACTATATTAATACTAGTGCAGTGCAAGTGCATTGTGGACACTTCTGTAATAATTCGATTTTTCTAATAGATTGGATTTGAGTAGGCATTCATATTTTCCCGCCAAACTTTCAATCTCCCATGCAGAGTTATCGGTTCTTGAGAGAGAGCGAGGATCGATAACTCTGCATGGGAGATTGCAAACGTTCTTGAGATATTCTTCCGCATGCGTTAACACACATTTTATGTACGTGTGCATAGATATTAAAGATTTTTTAATTATATATACATTTCTAACGACAAAACATTTTCACATTATTAATTCATGTTCTAAAAAAATATTTTTAGGAGTATCCATTGAAAAAATGAATTTATAACATGCGATAAGGAATGTTATTTTGCACTCGATAATGTCCGCGTATTTATCATGTTTATAGATCGGTTACAATCCCAACACGAAAGTTACGTAATGGAAATCTAAGCGACAGCAATACACCGGAATGCCCTCATGGTCATTCGATGTAAAAATTACAAAATAGGCTAAATTACAGGCTATCATACTAAATTATTCCTTCAGCCGTGAGGGTCAAATCGAGCCGGTCAGCATTTTTACATCGCGATGACCTTGAGGTCATTATCGATGTATTGCTGTCGCCTAGATTTCCATTATGTAAATTAGTTTTGGGTTTGTAACCGATCTATAAACATGATAAATATGCGCACATAAACGAGTGCAAAATAACATTCCTTGTCATTTGATATAAATACATCTCTTCAATGAATACTGATAAAAATATTTTTGTTTACAACATAAATTAATAATGTGAAAATGTTTTGTAGTTAGATATATATATATAAGTAAAAAATCATTGATAATATCAATGCACACGTACCGAAAAATTGTGTTAAAGCATGCGGAAGAATATCTCAAAGAACGTTTTGCGACAGGACCGGTAACTCTGTAATTGTTTTTGCGGGAAAATATGAATGCCTACTCGTATCCAATCTTAGAAAAATCGAATTTTTACAGAAAAGTGTCCACCATGCACTTGCATTGCACTATTATTAGAACAGTAGAATAGAATGATATACAAACGGATGCAAATCATATATATATGTAACTGTTATTTTAATATAATATATAACAACAAATCAGTGTATACTGATTTGTATCACTACAATATAATAGTTATTACGGTGAAGTTGAATTTCCTGTCATTTATTCATCATACTCGCACGCACTTGTCTAGAAAAAAATATATCTCTGTACATTAACCTCAGTTTCAGGTAAAGAGATATGTTGTTTTTTTTCTGAGACAAGTGCTTTTGACCATCCTCAAGAACTTGTGGTCATCCGATGTTCAGTACTTCAGTACTTTGATTAACTGTGCGACACCAGTGGAGTAACTTTCACTAGGCAGTGAGGCAACCCCGAGAAGGCAACTGCCTCGCCACATTTTGTTACAAAAAAAAACAAGGAGGAGGATAAAAAGAAGATAAAATGTATTCAACTGTACAGTGTGAGGATGGTTCCAAATATTTGGCTTTTCTACCCTTGACACAGACATTTGTCTCCGAAAAAAATACATATATACCTAAATGTTAAGAGATAACGATGATTTTTTTTCAGAGACAAGTCACCTGTGCGTAGAGGGCGTACACCACCCTTTTAATCGGAATATATATATATATATATATATTTTTGCATAAAATCGACCTTAAAGAAATCTGGTTTACATGTTATATGTTCAGTTTTATGGAATTACGTCCCTTTTCAAAATTCTGGGATCTGTTCATGGAGGTAGATACAAATGTATTTTTTTAAGAACGGGCAAATTATACTTTGTATAAAAAAAAATTATTCAAACAAGAGGTAAGAACTGTGAAACTAAAATGTTTGATTTATTAAATATATTGATAACACATTTGTTACGTTTATGGGACATGTTTTTCAACAGAAAGTCTTCAATTCTATGGGATTCAACTGTTCGCCTTTAAAATTACACCACTGTCAAGAGTTACAAATATTCACGGCCTGTGCAAAATTCAGGTAACTCAAATTTGTATTGGTATATTTCTTTTGATACGAAATTAATCAAATCAAATCAAATCTTAAAGGTCAAAATAAAAAAAATACATAGATTAGGGTTTTTTTAAATACTGTACTTCTGTTAATCAAACTATGTCAGCCTATTGGACTTTCATCTTTAGAATTCCCTTGGCTTTTAATATCTATTTCATATATATAACCTTTAATATAAATGAAATAAAATATAAATAACTTGGAGTGTATACATTATACATGAAAAAAAAAACCGCCAGCAATAATTGACGAAGATGATGGAATGTAATTTTAACGTCCAGTGGCATATATTACATGCATGTCGGAACAGGCAATTGACAAAACGTATAATAGAACCATTCTTTTTACAAGATAGTCACGTGGTATTTCACCAGGTTCACATTATTATCTTATTTTCAATATATATATATATATATATATTTTTTTTAATTGTAACTATCTATAGTTCTGTAACTTTCTATCTGTATAAACCAATGATAGACCAGTGCGTACATTTTTGTAAAATAACTATATTTATATGTTTCAAATTTTCCATAATTATTGACAACGATATACGTACTTTTTTTCCAAATTTTACCATAGAAAAATGTCTAAACAGATTTTTATTTCATCAAGTCTTTGGCTGGAATTATTCAGATTTTCATAAATATGATTCTTTATAACAGAAATGTAATTCATAAACAAGTGGTAATAAAATTGTATACACGAATGAGTTTAGAAATGACTACTATATCACTGTCGGATTCTAGTCGAAAAAAATGTACTCATGATGTATATTACACCTGATAGTTATTACATGGAATTTAAACTAAAGACAAAAACTTAAAATTTAATTTAGAAGGTATTTAAGGTTCATTTAAAGGAATTGAAAAATATTTGCAGATGTCTATTGTACATCTATTGTCCATTTGAATCAATACTACTCACAACATTTATCATATGAGGGGAGCTTCTCAAACCTCTTTCCCAACGGCACCTTCTGCTGGAATGAAAAAAATAACGAATAGCAAAATCCAGAAAAGTTTATAATTTTCTGAAACATAAAATGCATTTAAAATTTAACTATCTAGTTCCTGCCATGCTTCAAAATTTTTTCAGGTGCACAGTTATGTCTGTACTTCGAGTAAAAATTGTGATGTAATTACGGCCACATTAGCCAAAAGGTTATGATGAACCTAAAATGGAATGCGAAAACACGGTTAAGCTTTTAGAAGTAACAATAGACTTTAAACTAAATTTCAATGAACATGTCTTCTCTATGATATGTAAAAAGCATCCAAATAGCTAAATGTATTAAAAAGAATTGGAAAACACCTGACTTAACTTAGAAAATTAACAATTCATCATTCTTTCATAATGTCCAACTTTTATTACTGTCCACTAGTTAGGCACTTTTGTGGGGAGGTAAATACAAAAGAAATGAGAATTCAAGAGAGAGCTCTAAGATTTATATTTATGAAAACTATTCAGCAAGTTATGAAGATCTATTGTGCAAATCAAAACTACAAGAATGAGATCATTGGATATTGAAGTTTTCAAAACTTTTAACAAAGAATGTCCTGCTTATCTTTCTGATTTAATCCATTTAAAAGAAAACTCTTACTCTTTTAGATACCAGAACACAGCAGACCTACCACATGTTAGAACAACTGCGCGTATATTCTTTAAGTTATGCTGGTGCTAAACTTTGGAATGAACTGCCAAATGAGCTGCGTAAATCAATTTAAGAACTTGATAAATTCTTGGTTTGGCAACTCATGCCAAAACCAGTTAATTCTGTTCATTTCTTTTAGTTTAATGCTTATAGTGCTTCTACTATTTTGTGCTTATTTCAGTTACTTAACTAGTCTCTATGTGATTTTTATGTTGCAAACCGCTAGTGTGTGTGTTTAATCTGCTTGATAAAACTTTTTCGTTGTATGTTTGCATTATATGAACACCTGCTTTCTATGTTGGATTGTATGTGTGCATGACTTGGTGTGTATGTTTTGTTTGTTGTGCTTTTGTTGTGTCGGTTTTAAAATTTTTCCGGAGCTTATGTTTGTAATTGTATTGCATGCATATACCGACTTTAAATAAAGCTTCAAGGCAAAATTTCTGTCCCCATCCAATTTTCCAGTGGCAGTCTAAATTTCCTCGACCTTCATGCCGGACGGCCTCTATTACAGGACCTACCTATTGTATTCATTTGTTTTTTTGTTCTCGTCCTGAACATGCATGAAATATTTGCCACTGGACGTTAAGCAACCAACAATCAATCCTTACAGACAACGTTATATTGCTGGGTCTTCCTAGTGCTCCAAGAAACCTCTTTCTACATTATTAACATCAATTTTATCAGCATTTAAAGCTTCAAAGTTATTGTGAAACTAACTATTTTAGAGGCGGTGTGAATCAGATGTGGATATTACAAATTCCAAAGATCTGTTAGTGTACATACAATCTAAGACTCTTTTATTTTGCAATAGTATTAAAACATTTGACTTGTTCTACCCTTTACACCAGTATTCCCCATTGTAAACTAAAAAAACAAATTTAAAGTGTTGATCCTGCTTTGTTTCTCGAAAAAGAATGGTCAACGTAGATACAAGTATCTTGAGGGGATAAATCGTACTTTGTTAAAAAAAAACAATCTGAATCAAACAAGAAATTCTCTGAAACTTGCATTATCAAGATGCTTGATTTCTTGATCGACAACATATTTGTAACGTTTGAAGGACCCGTTTTTTCAACAAACAACCAGCATTCCTATGGGAACCAACTCCTCTTCTTGTCGACCTACCCCTTTATTCATATGAGACTGACTTCAATCAGAAGCTTCTTAGGAAGAACGAAAAGAAGCTAGCATTATTCTTTAACCCTAATTTCCGCTCTTAAATATGATTTCCTCTCACTAAATGATTCAAAGTTTAGTGAATATGTTGAACACATCTATCCCATCGAACTTGAAATAAAGGATACAACAGATACAGTTAAGTCTGTCTCATATCTTGAATTACATCTAGAAATTAACAATAAGGGTCGGTTGAGAACAAAACTTTACTACAATAGAGATGATTTCAGCTTCCCAATTGTGAATAAAGCAACATTCCAGCAAAAACGATATTCAAGGGCTTGCATTTCCTATCATGATTTCCTTTATAGAGGGTTTCTGATCCCAAGGAACCTATTAAACCAAGAGTTCTAAGTGGTAAAGTTGAAATCAACATTTTTCGGACGTCATCACGAGTTGGTTGCCCGTTATGGAATATATGTTTCACAGATGACGCATTGTATGTTCCAATTGTCATAACTACAATCCTGTCCTCTCTTCCCCAAAGAGACCTACTGAATTAGGCGTATCACCGGATTTGTACTAACACGACGGGTATGATAAGGCAAGGACGTCCTTGGATAAGGCCAATAAAGTTCCCCTTACTTGTCATATGAAAAGCTCTTTAATTTCTCATAGCCGAAGGTCTCGCCGTAAGAAAACATTACATGAGACATTACATAAGGAATCTGAGTCTCAGATCTGAGCTCCTAGCAAAGGTGATATTTTCTCGATTATTACACTTCCTAACACACCACACGGAATCCTCCCAATATGATAAAAGTGTACATTTTTACCTACGCAATATATAAAAAGGGTGTGGTTTGTCTTTTGGTCTTTTTATTTTTTTTTTGCCATGTCGTTGTCAGTTTATCTTTTGACTTATGAGTTTGAGTGTCCCTTTGTTATCTTTCGGCTCTCTTTTATGTCTTATGTCTCATTTTTGTGATTACGACTAAGAATTACCAAAATCTACCAAACTGCAGTTTTGAGCTTTCTTTGGAATTTACATTTTGGTAACATTTTCAAAAGTACTCTCTGGTCGTGTTACAACCTCAAAATATGCATATGAATTTGTCACAGTGGTTTTAGTGAAGTTTGAAAGACATTTTAAAATAGATTGGTATGAAATTAATTCAAAAGGAATTGGCCCAATATAAATGGTAAATTTTGCAATGATGTATTAAACAAATTTGGAGTTGGCTTAACCTCCTTCTCATCGCGTTTGGTCCACTTTATGTTGATTATTTTATCAATGTGTTTGCGTCCTAAATATGCAAGAAATGTTTGCCACTGAACAAAAAAAAAAAACCAAAAAAACAAGAAACTATCAATCTCATCATGATGTATATGTGGTAGTATGTTCATTTTGGATTTTGTATCATACTTTGGATATTTTGATATTATATGTCTGATGAGTTAATATTTTTAATTCTGAGTACTTATTGAGTAGTTTGTAGTCATGCATCAGTTGTTATATTTATTGTAAGACTTCTTCATGGCTCAGTGAGTTTTGATAGATTGGATATTTGTTTGCTCTCTATGTTTTATTAGTTTGTGTTATGAAAACTCTCGCTTCTTTATGATAATTGGTTAATTAAGTCATATGTATATGGTAGCCGGTTAAGGCCATTTCGTGTTTTCGCTCTTCATATTCTAAAGGGCGAAATCGCGAAGTCGAAAACGCGAAAGTTCGCGAAATATTTTTTCTTTCCGTTTTAGCGTTTTCGACTTCGCGATTTCGCGTTTTAGCCCTATAGAATATGAAGGGTGAAAACGCGAAATGGCCTTAACCGGCTACCATACATACATGTAATTATGTCTTTTTTGGAGGGAAATTCTTTTGTTTGGTTAGAATTTACTTATATTTTGAACTGAATGGTGCTGTGCTGTTCCTTGATATAATTTGTGTTCATATTATGTGGACATTTTTGATTTTATCAAATAAGGTCATTTTTCTTCAATTAATATCTCACATTCCTTCTAATATACTGATATGAATGTATTGTACAGATGATTTTGTATGAATGGTCAAAATGAATGATTTCAGAAAATGAGGTGCATATGAAAGTTTAAAATAGATAAACATATATAAAATATTGGTTAAATCAGATCACCTAACTAATCATTAGGCCAAAAATAAAATTTTATGTTTGGCCTAATGCTATTGTTTGATGTTGCCAGATACATATATACATATATATCTCTGATGTTGCCCACCTATCCACCTAAAAAGCAGTCTATCCGATAAAATTTATGGCACAAATTATTTCAAATTTGTTTTCAAAAACTTTTTTTGCTCTTATGTCGTTTTTTTTGTGTCTAAAACATGTAACTCATGTTGTTGGCCAAACAAAAATTAAATCCCTACCTACCTACCCAACCCTACAAGGCATGGGTAGGCAACATCAAACAAGGATTTGTTTAAGGATGGCCTTACAGTCGAAATAATCATTTTGTAAGTATTTAAACCAAATTATATGAATATCTAAGTTTTAGTTTTTGGTATCAAAAATAATAATTTGCATGTTAATACATAATTATCTTTGTTTTTGGTATCAAAAATAATAATTTGCATGTAAATACATAATTATCTTTGTTTTTGGTATCAAAAATAATAATTTGCATGTTAATACATAACACAAACTATTAACAACAACAGTTGTGATTATGTTTTTATTACAGTTATTGAACCATACTGTTCCAATATTGTACATGGTGTAGTACCATAGGTTCCAGAGTTTTGGGTATACAGGACCTATGTACCTCGTACATTGTAAGTTTTTACATTCTGTTTATATGTTTGTTTGTACTTAACATGTGTCTTATGCTCAGCTATAATATATAATATAGCAAGCTTACGTTATGTTGATCTATTCGATCAAAAGCTCCTTAGAGATTGTGTTGTATATTTGACTTTTGCCGAATCGAAATAATTTTTTTTATCTTTTTTCTTATCTTATCTTGCTGTACTTTGCTTTATATGTGTATTAATGCAATGTTGTTAAAAATTTTAATACAATAACCTAAAAAATGACTGTCAGTAGAATATTTGGTAGAATTTTAAAATATGTTAAATATTAAGATGTAATTTATGATTTCAAAATTTCTCCTGGTTTACATTTTTACACATAATTTTATGAGTCCAAAACATGGGAAAACCACTG